ATGATCCTTTGGCAGCCCTGGGGTGGGCTGGGGTCAAGGACCTGGCCCCGCAGGCAGGTACCGCTTCTGAAATCTCATGACTACTTTTTGGGGACGGAAAGAAGGTAAAAAATGAATTTAGGAGCCGTGGATTTGTCCTGACTCCTTAAAAAAAAAAAAAAAAAAAACCCACAAAAAAAGGCTGATGCAACAGCAGTGCTGCAGTGGGAGGTCACCCTTCCCCAGAGCCCCCGTGTCCCAAACCATGCCCCAAGCACCCCAGCCAGGGGGGCTGCAGGCACCTCCTCCTGGAAGCGGTTTGGGGTTTGTGCCGGACGCTTGCAGCAAGCTGTCTGAAGCTCTGGAAAGAGAAACGATTCCTCCTCCTCCTCCTCTTCCTCCCTTGCCCAGAAATAGGTCATTTAATTACCCCCTTTCCAACCCCAAGCACCAGTGACTCAGGACAGGAGGTGGGAGTGCTCCCACCCTGCGCCAGCAGCAGCCCAAAGCCACTGTGCACGGCTTTGACCTTGAGCCAGCGTGCCAGCAGCACTGGGCACAGCCAGCACAGATGGCAGGGGCTCAGCTCCCCACCTCTGCATTCCAGCTCGTGCTGGTCACTCACAGCAAGGAGGGTCGGGGCACGGGTGCTGCTGACCCCCTCCACGCACAGCCCGGGAAAACCAAGGGGAAACCAAGCTGGGAAATCCTTTGTGTCCTGCTCGGTCCAGCTGCTGCGGCGTGGGACACCACGGTGGCTCCTGGAGCCTGGCACATCCCAGCACAGGGATCATCCTGCCCTTCCAGCTTGTCCTCACTGTGCACCAGGACATCAGCACCGCTTGGGCTTCGCGTGTGGCACCGCAAGAGCAGCACCACACGCCTGCTCTGCCGGGCACTGGAGGGGCACGGAGCTATTTAAAGTCCCACTGGGCAACGTGGCAGTACCCAGCACTGGGAACAGGCCCCAGCAGCTGCTCCAGCATTCCAGCAGTCAACAACCAGGACATCTCACCCTGAGCAGAGCCCTCTGGGTGACACAGATGGTGGCAGCAAGGACTCACCACCACTGCATGCACCTCATGTCACTGCCCCCTTTTCTACAGGGGAAGGTGCTCACCCTGAATGATTCCCAGAATTCCCTGAATGAATCCCAGATTCCCTAAGAAACAGCCTGGGAATCACGGAGCAAGCAGCTGCTGTGTCCCCCCAGCCTTGTTGTGACCCACACAAAAACAAGCCAAGTTTCCCCCAAAAACTGCTCCCATGTAGCTCAGAGACCCAAGTCCCCCATCTTCTGTGACCCCATTTAAGAGAAAGCAAACCTAGACCCCACCCCCCCCAAAATAAATCACTCCAAATTGAGGTATTTATCAAACCTTTGCCCTCCACATGGGCACTTTTTTCAGGATTTTTCAGAGGATGTGGGCTCTTGTCTGTTTTGCAAGCAGTGGGGAGCTACAGCAGGGAGACACCAAGAGTGAGGGGAAAGGAAAAATTAAAGAAGAACCACAAGCAAAGCAAAGTGGAGTGCAAGATGCAAACCGACAGATCCGGGGAGGCAGAGCTGCTGGCAGGCAGACGGCGAGATCCATCTTGAAAGCAAAAGCAAACTGCTGCTCACACAGGCAGAGGGAAAAACCTAGAGGTCTTCAGCACTGCCTGAGCTCTGATCAAACAAAGTGATTAACAAATCTCAGCTTTCTATTGAAAGCCTCTCTAATTAGAGGGAAAAAGGAAAGGAAAAAACAAAACCAAACCCCTGAGAGTCACATCGAGTGAAGTCCCAGACAGTGCCGGGGAGAGGTGAGGGGGTGATGCACCCCACAGTCCTGCTGGCACAAGGAGAGGGCAAGCACAGCCAGGGGCACCCTGTGCCACACGTTGCCGTGCCTCCCCCAGCCTTCCTCCTCCTCCCCTTCCTCCTCCTCACTTGCTCTCTGCTCACCGTGGCGGGCTCAGCAGCAGAGCGGAACCTTCCCGGGAGCAGGACTGTCATCTACAATAGAGTCACCTCTGACCCCCGGGATGGCTCAGCCTCCAGGAACTGCCAAAATAGCGATAAAAATAAGAAAGAGCCCCCGGCCTGAGGAGCTCACCCTCCGAACAGATGGGACGGCGGCGGGGTGAGGCAGGGGGATATTTTTAGCTCTGGTTGCAGATGGGGAAGTCCAGCACGGCAGCCCCACCGCCGCCTGTGCAGCTCACCGTGCCTTGGGTCACCTCCATGTGCACTCCCGGGTATTAACAGGATTTAATGGGATGCTGCCTGCTCACTTCCTGAGCCTCAGGCACCACCTTCCAGGCCAGCTCACACCATCACAGCTCCACATGGCATCTCAGCACCACTGCCAGGGGCACCCAGTGGGGCAGCGGTGGTCTGGGGCAGCGGAGTCAATGTCATCAACCCACACCCCGCTGCCTCTTTCCCCTTCACTCCCAAAAAGACCACATCCCTGCAATCCATCACAGAGGAGAGATGCCACGCAGCACCCCATGGCGGGTTCCTCCCAGCGCGCTCCAGGCGATGCCAACCTGACCCTGGCAAGCACTCTGCCTCGGAAAAAAAAAAGAGCGAAAAGCAATTCCTGCCCCTCACCACAGACGCTTTCTTAGGTTCAAACGACTCGCCCAGGGTGTTGAACACACAGCTCACAGCTGAGCCCTCCACACCTAGCTGAAGCCCTCCTGGCCCTTCGGGATGTGCCGAGCAGCATCTCCCCCCACCCTCACGCCCATCCTTGCCTCGTGAGGCAGGGCCTGCACCAGCAGGGACACCTCCCTGCCGGGCAGCTGCCGGCACCAGCTCCGGCACACGCCGGCACCGCGGCAGCTGGGTCCCGCTCCCGTACTTTTCGTCCGACACTTTCGGCTTTGTTCTCCCTCTCACAAAGCCGCCGTGAGGCTGCCCTGGCAGCACGAAGGGACCTTGAAGTGGATGCAGTTTATGACCATATTTAGGCTCCTTTATGTTGCCAGAGTCACAGTAAAGGGCTGCAGCATTAAAATGAGACTCAGACCCCACTTGTTTCACTTGGCAGCCTGGGAAAAATCCACCCCGGGTGACTCCAGCACCGTCCATGCCTCCGCCCTGCCCGCTCGGGGACAGCACAAAATAGCAACAGCCCTTTCCAGCTCTGCAGTTGCACCTCCCAAGAGGAGCCAGGAGCCCCACACCAGTGAGGAGGGGGGAATTAAAACACATTAACCACCTCCCCCATTCCGAGAACACCACCAAAGTGTGGGGAAGCAAAGGGACGTGCCCAAGGTCACCTAGTGACAAAACCAGCACTTCCCAAGGTCCCCAGAGCCCCCCAGCAGGACTGAGCACACACAGGGACGTGACCACGAGGAGCCCCCCGAGCCGGTTTGTGCTGGGGGAGAGCCTGGGCAGGAGTGGAAACCCCCGAGCCACCTGACACGGGAGCTAATGCCCCTTCAACACGAGTTAAATCCCTGCTGTGGCAGAGGCACCAGCGAAACCCGAGCAGCGGCCCCACCGCTGCCGCGGGGACATCGGCACCTGCTCGGAGCCGGCACAAGTGCAGATGCCTCAGCTCGGCAGAGCCGCGACAACTGCAGGGGCTGAAGGGCAAGGTGGTGGGAGTGGAGAGGAGGATCCATGAGGCCCACCCAGAGGTCTGTGACCTTCAGGAGCCCGTTCCAGTGATCCCGAGGGCAGCGCCAGCAGCTTGCTTTGGAGCTCCAAAGAGACAGGGGCAGCTCAGTGCTCCCACAACAGGGCCACCAGCACTGAAATCAGCTCAGAGAAGGAAAGAACATAATGAGAATAACCCTTACCTAGAGCCACAACCTGCACCCCTGGCCTGATGAGCGTCCCCGTTGCACTGAGGCCAGCACAGCCCCTTCCCCGTCAGCAGCAGGATTTCAAGCTGGCTGTCCTGGGACAGTGGTTTGAGAGCACCCACCTTGGTGAAGCAACACCAGCCCAAAAATCCAAACACGGCCACGCACCGCGGGAGAAGGGGCTTTGGAGGGACAGGATCAGGCCTTCCCGGGGTGGGGGCAGGCAGAGGCGCTGAGCTGAAGTGCCAGGGGAATTTGCAGCAGCACAGGTGTCCCTGTCCCTGCCCAGACCCCTGCCCACAGCAACGGGGAGTCACCAGCCAAAACCGCGTGGCAGCTCCGACACTTGTGGAGGATTAGGAGGAGGGGACAGCCCAGCTGGCGGCCGTGCAGAGCTGGGGGTACCATGGGGTACCACGGTGCAGGGGCAAGAACTGCGTGTGTGGCACGACTGACTGTGCGTGAGGAGAGAAAAGGCAAATAAATAAAAGAATAAAAACCAACGTCAAAGCCAAAGGGGGTTTGGGAGCTGCAGGGAAGGGATAAGCTGCGGTCGAAGCGGCGTCACAGATGCCGAAGAGCCGCAGATGCCGGACGCCCTGTCACCGCATCCCCGCTCAGCATCGCCGCTGCCTCCGGCCAAGGAAGCGCTCGGCACCCCGGGGAGGCCGCGGCAGCGGCTCGGCCCCACCACGACACCCTGCTCCGGCCGCCGTGAGCCCCTCCGGACAAACAATCCCAGCTGTCGGCTCCGGAGCCGGCGCACGGCCAAGGCATGGACGCTCCGGGACTCGATTTACCGCCGGCTCTCCCAAAATCTGCTCTTGCCAATCAAACCGCAGCCCCCCGGCGGCACCCGGAGCCTCGCCGGCGGGTCCCCCCACAGCCCCCATGCCATCACCCTATGTCCCGCCAGGCAGAGCACCCCCCAACCCCCGAAACCCACCGGGCCCTGCTTCTCCCTGCGTCCCGCCAGGCCGCAGCGGGTCCCGCTCGGGCTGGACGCGGTGTCGCGGGTGGGCTCACGCTCTGTCACCGCGGGGGTCCCACGGGGGACACTGCCCACCGCCCCGCAGCGGGGTGGGCACCCCCGAGGGCTGCCCCCACCCCACCGGCAGCACGCAGCGGGGCCATCCCCGTGTGCCGCGCCCGTGTCCCGCGTCCCCCCCGCGCGTGTCCCGCGTCCCTCCGCGCGCGTCCCGCGCCGCCCTCACCTGTCCCCGCAGCGCCCAGGCCGAGCCGCCACCTCTTCCCCTTCCTCCCGGCTCCCTCCTTCACCTCTGCACCATTTTGGTGACGGTTTGTTTTGAAGCCGAGGGGGGAGGGGGAGCGAGCGGGGCCGGGGGAACGGGGTGGGCCCGGGGCCGAGCGGGGCTGAGCCGGGGGGGAGCCGAGGCCTAGCGGGGCCGAGGCAGGCCCGGCGGTGCGCTGAGCCGGGGACGGGGAATCGCAGCCGGGAGCTGGGTCGGGAGCTGCCCTGTGCCACCCTCAGGGTCCGGCCTGGCCCCTCTCGTGTTCCCCGGGCTGGGCAGCAGTGTCCGGCCCAGCCCCGCGTGAAGGGGGCATGGTGGGTTCTGCCCCAGCTGCCATGGAGGTTTGGGCTCAGGACAGCGGCTCAGGGCGGCCCAGGTGTCCCTAAAGCGACACAGGTGCCATCAGCTGCCCGTGAAGGTGCCAGCTGCGCTGCCAGGATAATGCATACAGCTTTCCGAGGCAGTGGAAGGGCCCAGTTGTGTGTCCAGCACGGTACAAGGTACGATGCTGTCCGGTGTCCGGACACAGCCCAGCTCCAGGAGCTGCTCCTGCCTCTGTTATCCTCACTGCACTGGGCTCCCGGGGCTCCCAGCCCTCACCCGGCCCTTCCCGAGCACACGGCACCGGCACTGGGCTCCCTGTGCTCGGCAGCCCAGACCCTGCTCCAAGCCGGGGCTCTGCGTTCCCAGCTCCTAAAGCAGCTGCAACCCAGATAAATCGCTCTGTGCTACCCGCAAGAAACCCAACAGTCTCTATTTGACTCCCCCCCTCTGTGCCAGGACAGTTTGGGGCTGTGAATTTGGGCAGGAATCTGGTTTTTAGGGAGTTGGGTGGCCAGTTCTGTTCCTGTCTCGCCTCCATGTCCAGCGTTGCTTATCCACAGCCTCAGAGCAGTGTCGGTGGTGAGCACAAACATCCTTGGGGCTGGGGGGATGGAGACCACCCACCTACACCCCATGTCTGCACTGGTGGGAGCGGGTGTTCCTGCTGGATGAGCTCTCCCAGCGCTGGGAATGCTGGAGGAGTGCCATATGGCAGGGCTGGGGGTCAGCATGGGGCACAGGCTGTCCTTTCCCAGGCATGGCGAGCCTGGGCAGGCTCCCATGTGCCACACAAAGCAGTAAAAATAAAAATCAGGCTGGCGTGGGACTGCTTTTGGCAGAAGAAAACTGGTGCCAGGGGTCAGAACCTCCTTGGTAGATGTTTCGTGGGTTGCCCTGGCTGGCAGAATGCAGCCCACTTTCCACACTGGTGACACGAGTCTGGTGCAGCTCCAGCGCTCCATAAAAATACCGAGCGATGGCTCTGTCACACACAAAGCCACTGTCCCAGCTCAAGGGGGGCTAGGGGGCTGTGACAGCGATGTCCCAGCCCTGTTGGGTCACATTCAGCTGGAGCACTGAGAATATGAGTGCAGGAGCTGCCAGGCAGGGGGACAGAGTCACTGTTGTCACCCAGATGATGCCCACAGCCATTAATGCAGCAGCACGCAGTCCCCGTGCACTGGCCTCCACAACACAGGGCACTGCACAAGCCCAAAACTCCCAATTTCCTCCCCAAAGGCCTGGGGTGACCCGGGATGGGGCCGGGGTGTGCTCCCACCACAGCTGTTGGCCACGGCCGGCTCTGCCCTGAGCCCCATCCCAGGCCAGGAGGGCAGGGAGAAGTTCCCCGATGCCAGTGACTCAGCTGAGGGGGTTGTTTTGCAACACGCTGGGTGTGGGAGGCTCCTGGTGTGTGGAAAGTAGGTGGCAAATTATCCAAATGATCCAAGGTGTGCGGTGAGCTCAGGGCCCGGGGAGGCTGGAGCAGCCCTGGGGGCGATGGACCCGCACCCCGAGCTGGGGCGGGGATCCCCCTGCAGGGCTTTCAGAGGGTGCTGGAGGCTGGGATCAGCTTCCCCTGGCTCTGGAGCCTTCCTCACACTGATCTGGGACAAAGAAAGCGAAGGCACAAGGGTGAGAGGCAGCGATGGTCTCAACAGAGAGGGCAGATCTGACCGAGCATCACTGGTGGCATGGCCACCCCTCTGACTCAGTGACACAGTTTCCTGCTGGCTCCTTCCCCCGTCCCAGTATGTATTTCTAGTGGACTTTTCAGTGTGTTTGGCTTTTTGGGGCTGTTTGTTGTCAGTTAGTTATTTTATTATATTTATTGTTAGAAATAAGGCTATTTTTAGGACGCTGTTGGTTTAGATAGAGATGGGATTAGTCATCTCACCAAGAGCTGTTTGCAGTCTCTCCTCAAGGATTCTCTGGGGTTTGTTTTCCAATCAACTGAGATCATGTATCCAAAGATATAAAAAATAAAAATAGTCAGAATAACACGCAGCAGCCGTTCTCTGGTGCCTCTCTGTGAGTTACAGGATGAAAACGAGGGAAGGATCCAACCCAGGATATTTATGAGACAAAGACGAGAACATTACTATGAACCTCAAAGTATTTTGGAAAGTCAGTTTGAGCTGCCTTTTTTTTTCTTTTTTTTTTCTTTTTTTTTTTTGTCTCTTGGGAACCAAATGCTGAGTAACTCCCTTCCCACACCAGGCTGCTGCTTTGTACAGCTGGTGCGCAGCCTCTTGACAGTGGAAACTGCTTTCCCTTGCCCTGTGCCAGCAGGAAGGAGGCAGGACTCCTGGGTCCTCCAAGATATGCAGCCACCTACACCCTAAGGCTATTAAAACAAAAACAAACAAAAAAAAAGGCACCCAAAAACCTAAAGTGGGAAAGATATTTGTTCCTCTCCTGCACAGAGCTCAGGGAGGGGAGTGGGGTGAGGGCTGGGGGCAAAGCCAAGAGGCCGAGAGCAGAGCCTTGTGCTGCAGAGCAGCATCTCTATCCTCCTTGCCACAACTTTTTGTCTCTCTCTGCCCGTTCCTCCCTCTGAACCAAGTGGGAGCAGAGCTCCATGCGACTTTTGGGGAGACCAGTGTAGCTCTTAAAGACTGGGGTTGGACGCAGGGAGGAATCACAGTCCGTGCCTCATCTCATCCCTCCCTGGAGTGGAAGTGCTGCTCCAGCTTGTCCCTGGGTATGCTGAAAGCTCTGAAAGAGCTTTGAAAGCTCTGCAAGAGGGAGGGGATGGGGGTCCTGCCGTGCCACAGCAGCTGGACCCTGGCCCGGGGTGGGGGTGATGCCCTTGGCAGCAGCACAGCCCAGCTCGGGATGGGGAGAGGAGCAGAGCCGTGCACGGAGGGGCACTCACGGGTCATTCCCAGCTCAGGGACAGTCCTGGTGACCACCAGGGTCTGTGCCAGCCCTGTTCCTGGGCCATCTGTGACCGGGGTCATTCCCATCTCGGGGACAGTCCTGATGACCACCAGGGTCTGTGCCATCCCTGTTCCTGGGCCATCTGTGACCCGGGTCATTCCCAACTCCCCACCCCAAGCCGGGGAACAGTCCTGATGACCACCAGGGTCTCTGCCAGCCCTGTTCCAGGATCATCCGTGACTGTGGTCATTCCCAGCTCCCCAGCCCAGGAACAGCCCCGGTGACCACCAGGGTCTCTGCCAGCCCCGTTCCTGGGGCTATCCATGACCATGGTCATTCCCAGCTCCCCACCTCAAGCCGGGGGACAGTCCTGATGACCACCAAGGTCTGTGCCAGCCCCGTTCCTGGGCCACCCGTCACCTCCCGCCTGCGCTGGGCTGGCACGCCCGGGCACAGCACGGCACGGTCGCTGCCTGCCCGACCCGCGCGGGGACAGGAGTGGCACACGTGTGGTGACAATGCGGGGGGGGGGGTGGCAGCGGGCAGGGAGGAAGCGTCGCCTTCACGTGGCCCCTGGGGCCCCCCCGCCGCCCACCCCGGCTTGGGCAAGGGAGGAGGAGGAGGAGGAGGAGGATTATTTGCCCTCGCAGCTGGCCGAGGTCCCAGCCCATGCCGGGGACGGGGGGGCACCATGGCATGGCCGCAGCTGCCAGCGACGCTCCGGGGCCACCCTGCCCGGCTGCGTGCGGGGTCCCTCCTGCCCCGGCCGTGCACCCCCGCCCCTGCAAACGCTGCCTTCCTCCCTGCCCCCCCTTCCTCTCCCAAGTCTAAATTCTCCCACAGCGTCCATTGACGTCCTGCCTGCGTCACCGTCTCCAGCACAACCAGACAGCACGTGGGAGAGGCAGGTTAAAGCGGCAGGGCCCTGGGAGGGCTCCAGCTGCGCGCCCCCAGCAGCGGGGCCGGCTGGGGAGGGGCCCCCCGAGCCCCCCACCCAAACGGGACCCTCTCCCGGCCGGTGTTTCCCGGCTCAATCAGCGCGGGCTGCGGGAAGATGAGGATTTTTCTCGCCCCTCGCAAGGCTCGCACGGGACCGTGAACGTTTTGCATCCTCCCTGCCGTGCTCCAAGCCCACCCCAAAGGGGGAGCGGCGGCTCTGCTGGCCAGGGAAGGCAGCTCGCATCGGCCCTGCGAGCTCCCCGAGCCCGCTCCCAAAGCCAGAGCCAGACTCGCGGTGTTTTTTCTCCCGGCTGCCGGGCCCCCAGCCAGTCCTTGTGCCTCCACATCTGGGCTTTGCCTCTGCCCGAGTTACGGCGCAGCTCAGCTGGCTCCTGGGGGCTGGGAGCGGGCTTTGCACGCAGGGAAGTGCCAGAGCTCTGCCAGGGCGTGGGATGCAGCGAGTTCTGCAAGGGCTCAGCTGCCGCTGCTCTGACTTTTACAAGGGCTCAGGTACCTCCCCTTGAAGCCCACTCATCATTTCTGCTCCAGGATATTGCCTGGCAGCCGCAGCACTGCAGGACATCCCCCTGGCCGTGACTCCGGGAGCTGGGATGGGCAGGAGAACACCCCGGCACCCCTGAGCACAGCCCCGCTCCCTCGCCGTGTCCACGCTGCAACTCGGGGGGCTATTTTTGTCCCTTCCCTTCTATTTATTGTGCCAGAGCCGTGTGCGGTTGGAGAAGGCTGTGGTGTTTGCTTTGTGATTGCTTCCTTCCCGCCCATAACCTTTTGCCTTAAAACGGGATTCGCCCTGATCCTGGACCCAAGGCCGGGAAGCCTGGGCAGCGTGCCACGGGCACTGGCACTGCACGGCTCTTGGGGGACAGAGATTCCTGGC